CCACAACTAGACTGAAGAACAAAACGACAGCAACTTGTCTGTTCCCCTTCCCCCAATTCCCCAGCACTGTTCCCATCTCCCCAATTCCCCAATAAAAATCTTAAAAAAAAAAAAAAAAAAGAGGTTATTTGATAGAATGAATTAATAACAATAAAAACTAATACTTAATTAGTGCTCAAACTGTGCTAAAATGTTTTGCATGTATTTTTCTCCTTTAATCCTCACAAGGATCCAACAGACAGTATCCATTATTCTCATTTTACATATGAGTAAACTGAGGCTGGGATAGCTGAGTAGGTCCCAGTTAATAACGAGTGGAGCCAGCATCTGAACCCATGCAGTCTGACTCCTCATGCTTTAGACCCCAGGCTCTGCCATCTCCTACAATATTATGCACAAATAAGAACCAAAGACTTCTGAGGACAGGGATGACAGAGGAAACGGTAGCAGAACATAGGATGGATTGAAGAAGGAGACTACAATAAGGAGACAAGTTCAGAGACAACTGTAATAGCCCACAAGGCAGGGGTTGCAGGCCTGAACTGTCGCCCTACGTGGTCAGAGGTTCCAGGAACCGCAGGCTCTGCAGCAACTCTACTCTGGTCCAGCCCAGCCAATCAGCTTCTGTAGGCCTCTCGCCTACTGGGGGAAATCCTCAGACAGAATTTGTTTCTACACAGCTCTGTTTTTAACTGAATCCCAAGAATTACTGGATGAATAGCTACTAAATATCACAAATGCCTCACATACCGTTATGTTCGCTCCAGTCAGACAATTGATGCGATGCATATGCTTACAGAACTCGGGACCGTGCCCTTCCCAGTCCGTATCATTATTAGTGACAAATAAATAGGCATGTATCATTTCATGCAAGAGGGTCTGAAACAAAACAATCAAATTAATTTGTTATGGTGTGTTTGAAATAAAAACTCATTTTCTTACTCTACCTGGAGTCTTAACCTTCTTTGGATCACAGGCTCCTTTCAGAAGCTGATGAAAGTCATGAAAAATCTTTCTAGAAAAGATATAAGCACACACACACAAAACTTGCATAGAATATCCAGAGCTCTACAGAACCCAGGTTAGGAACTCCCTGTTCCAGGAAAGCCTCTTTATTAATCAAAATCCAGAAGATAAGATCAATTAATTTACAGGGCTGGCCGAGTGGCGCGTTAGTTAAGAGCTGGCTTGGGACACCAGCTCTGAGCAGCAGGGCCCCAGTTCAGATCCCATATGAGGGCCAGTGACACTGCCCTCGACAGCTAAGATGGTGAACAACAGTTCAACCTGGAGCTGGTCTGCCGTGAGTTGACAGCGTAGGCTGCAGCCCCTGCTGCAGTGGGCTGCTGTGAGCTACCGTGAATGGCTGGCAGCCAGTGTGAGCGGCCGGCAGCTGGTGTGAGCTGCAGTGAGCCACCGTGAGCGGGAGTCCAATAGCTGGCGACTGACTGCCTCACCTGGGAAGAACGCAATAATACCAACATGGGCCAGTGAAACGATGCCCTCCACAACTAAACTGAAGAACAAAAGGACAGCAACTTGTCTGCTTCCCCTCCCTGATTCCCCAATGCTGTTCCCTTCCCCCAATTCCCCAATGAAATCTTTAAAAAAAAAAAAACAATGGATATAAATATTTGCAAATAGAATAATGAAAAAAAAGAAACTATAAACGATATCCTCTTCTCTCGTAGGTGGTGAGTTGACGATGGAGAGGGGTGGAGAGAGCAAGATTTCTCTGTATAAGCTTTTTACATTTTTGAAATTTTGAATCATGTAAAATTTTAAAATAAACAAAAGCTACTGCATTCTACACCAAGGATTAGTCTAACACTAATATAGCCACAATAGGTTTCTGTTAAGTGTTTAGATAATATACTTTTTTCCCGTCTTTTTACATTTAACATATGTGTCTTTATTTTAAGCATGTGTCTTTTAATCTAGCATGTCATTCCATGTCTTTAACTGGAGTGTTTAGTCCATTTATATTTAATGTAATTACTAATAGTGTGTTTATGACTACCTTTCTCTTTATTTTACCTGGACTTTGTTCCTTTATTCCTCTTTCTTTTTTTTTTTTTTTTTTAGCTGAGCCATCCTGCTACCTGTTGGCAGCTCAGCGGCAGCTCAGCTGGGGCTGGACTCGAACCGCTGTTGCTCAGAGCTCAAACTCTCGAGCAAGCTCTTAACCAACTGAGCCTGAGCCACTCGGCTGGCCCTCCCTCCTTTCTTTTTATTGATCAAGTATTTCTGTTGTACCATTTTACATTTAGTAGCTATTTACTTTTTTTTTTAAAGTGTGGTAAAAAAAACCAGTGACATAAAACTTACCATCTTAACCATTTTTAAATATACAGTTCAGCAGTGTAAAGTATATTCACATTGTTGTGAAACCCATTACCTTTTATTACCCTTAAAAACAGCATCCCTCATATTTCCAAGCATGTTTTAACATATTGCCCATACAATCTCTATCACCCTATGCGCTTTTGTGTAACTAGGGCAAGATGAGTCACACTGTGTGCTTCTTGGGGAATTTCAGGCATTTGCTAAACTCAAAGGCAATCTAGGCGTTTCTACTGCTCTACTTTGCTAGCAGGAGCGACCACTAGCTCTAGATATGAAGGGTCCTCATACTGGTTCGTTCTGCTGGGAGGGCAGCACCACGGTGGTTGAACAGAAGAGAACCAAAATTTATAAAAATGAGTATCACACACACATTGAACATAAGCAGGGTTGTTGTACAGACCAAATTACTTAATATACCTGAAAGCCTTTAACTTTGAAGCGCTATAAAAATATAAGGTAATCATTAGCCCCACTATTAAAATTTGCAACGAGGGAAAACGGATTGTTTTTACGTGCACAGCACTCTAAATCAATAATAAGCATTTCTAAATTACTGAGCTGATAATCAGGTTTATGCAAAGAATACCTCTACAAGATCCTTCCTTGGTCTCAACTTTAAAAGGGGTACACTGAGACGGATGGAGCACATCCCACCCTTGCCTTCGTAGCTGCATAACCCAGCACACCTGAAAAACAACCACCACAAAAGTGTTATTTACCAAATAGACACAAAAGGGAAACAGATGAAAAAGCAAATCCTTACACTTTTGGGGGCAGCTCACACTGAGAGACCTCTATGTCAGGTGACTTTCTTGAAAGTATACCCTGTTTGTTAGGAGAGATTTGCATCTTGGCCCAGTTGGGGAACGATGTGAATAGTAATTCACCCCAGCCAGGAGGCAACAGCTTGAAAACAATCCGGTTCCGGTTCCACCGTGACCCGCCCTCCTCCCGACAAGCTGTCACCACTCTGCTGCTAACAGCCATAATACTGCTCCAAAACTGTAACAGAAGCCTATACGGAGATCTGGGCTTTAAACACAATTCTGTATATCTTAATCTGCCTTATTTTGTTTTGTAACAAAAACAAGCAGGGTGCAACACAAGCGCATCTTAAATTTGGAACTCTGTTGCTGTACAAAAGTAATTATTTCAAATTGGGATTGCTCAGACTTAGAAAGGGATCCGTTTAGCGGCGTCCCTGAAAATCCTTGGGGTCCAGAAATGTGGGCAGGTCCACCTCGCCCACTCTATCGGCGAGCTCACTCCCACAGCGGAGGTGCCCTAATGGGCGCGGAGCACTACCCTCCGTCCTCGGCACTCTTTCTTTGGGGCAGACTGGTTGCTGCTCCCCCCTGGGTCCTAAAGTACTACCGCGAGACGTATCAGATATGCGTTAATTTATTTTCAAATGAGGTGAGAATCCTTTTCTCTCATTGTGTCCTTTATAAGTCAAACGGTAGCGGGGTGGGCCACACGGCTTACTTAAAGTGGTCTGAGAGGGAGAGGGGCAGGGCGAAATACGCCAGAGGGGCTGTCGGGTCCAAAACCAGAACCCCTCGTTTAACGGTCCCTGCTACGGTTGGGGCGGAGAAAGAAAAGAATCCCAGGGCCGCGGCTGCGGGGAAACCGTCAGCCCGCCTCTCTTCCCCAGCGGGGCTCGGGACTCACATTGTCATTCGCACGCTCCACTTCACCTCGACGGCCTCCAGCTGGCCCCAGAAGAACCGGTCGTTGAACAGCATAAAAAGGGCCTGTATATCCGGGGTGGGGTCCACCAACTCCCAAGACGCGTCCACCAGGGACGGGGTCTCCTGGACCTGACTGTGCTCCGGGGCCTGCAAGTTCCACTCCTCGTGAAGCCGTAACGCCAACAGCAGGTCCTCATCCATCGCTGCCAAGATCTCGGGCGGGGTCCGCAGACGTTAGGCTCGCTCCCACGTCAGGCCGCGACTCCACGTCCGGGAGGCTCTGAGGGGCGCGTCGACTCCTAGAAAATACCGCCTCTCGAGCCGCACTCCCTTAGCCCGAGCGGATCTCGCGAGAACTCCGGAAAAACTGCCTCGAAAGCGAGAATTGAGCTTGCCCCAAATCCCGAAGCCACGATTCTAGGGCTTAATAAAAAGAACTCAGCGTGACATCTCCTAGCGAGCTCAAAACTTGGGTTCCCAGGGCTTGGGCCCGAGGAAGGTTTCAGGAAGCCGGTTATCGCTTTTACCATACGACAATAACTAGCAACAGAAAGTTACGCTTGGCGCATGCGCAATACCTACCTCTCGCTCTGCCTCACCCTCCACTAACTTCCGCAACAGCTCTTGTAGCGCAAGCGCTCTAGGCCGTTGGCACTCCTGCGCAAGCGCAGTCTGCACTTGGCCCCCTTGCGCAGGCGTCCGTCTGAAGCTCAAAGGGGCGCAGGCGTACTCATCTCTCTTCCGTCCTGCTTCCTCAGCCCTGGAGCTTTGCCGGGCCTGGGTGGGCGAGGACAGCGGCAGCACCGGCGGCGGCGACGAGAGTGACAGTGACTGCGTGAGACTCAGACGGAAATGGCGATGGCGATGTCGGACAGTGGGGCGAGCCGCCTAAGGCGGCAGCTGGAATCAGCGGGCTTTGAGGCACGGCTGTACGTGAAGCAGCTCTCGCAGCAGTCGGACGGGGACCGGGACCTGCAGGAGCACCGGCAGCGCATCCAGGCGCTGGCGGAGGAGACAGCGCAGAACCTGAAGCGCAACGTCTACCAAAACTACCGGCAGTTCATAGAGACGGCCCGCGAGATCTCCTACCTGGAGAGCGAGATGTATCAGCTCAGCCATCTGCTGACCGAGCAGAAGAGCAGCCTGGAGAGCATCCCGCTTACCCTGCTGCCTGCTGCCGCCGCCGCCGGGGCTGCCGCGGCCTCTGGAGGAGAGGAGGGAGGAGGTGGCACGGGGGGCCGAGACCACCTCCGGGGCCAGGCTGGCCTTTTTCCCACGCCTGGGGGTGCCTCCCGCGACTGTGCGGGGCCGGGCGAGGAAGGAAAGCAGCGCACTCTCACCACCCTGCTGGAGAAGGTGGAAGGCTGCAGGCACCTGCTGGAGACGCCGGGACAGTACCTGGTGTACAACGGGGACCTGGTAGAATACGAGGCGGACCACATGGCCCAGCTGCAGCGGGTGCACGGCTTTCTCATGAACGACTGTTTGCTGGTGGCCACCTGGCTGCCGCAGCGACGGGGGATGTATCGCTACAACGCCCTCTATCCTCTAGACGGTTTGGCCGTGGTCAATGTGAAAGACAACCCGCCCATGAAGGACATGTTCAAGCTGCTAATGTTTCCCGAGAGCCGAATTTTTCAGGCGGAAAATGCTAAAATCAAACGAGAGTGGCTGGAAGTGCTGGAGGAAACCAAGAGGGCCCTCAGTGAGAAAAGACGAAGAGAACAAGAGGAGGCAGCGGCCCCTCGAGGGCCGCCCCAGGTGACAGCCAAGGCCAGTAACCCATTTGAGGATGAAGAGGATGAGCCTGCCGTTCCTGAGGTAGAAGAAGAGAAGGTGGACCTCTCGATGGAGTGGATCCAGGAGTTGCCGGAAGACCTGGATGTCTGCATTGCCCAGAGGGACTTTGAGGGGGCGGTGGACCTGCTAGATAAACTGAACCATTACCTCGAAGATAAGCCCAGCCCCCCTCCTGTAAAGGAACTGAGGGCCAGAGTGGATGAGCGTGTGCGACAGCTCACCGAAGTGCTGGTGTTTGAACTCTCCCCAGATCGGTCCCTGAGGGGAGGTCCCAAGGCCACTCGTAGGGCGGTTTGCCAGCTCATCCGGCTGGGCCAGTGCACGAAGGCTTGTGAGCTGTTTCTGAGAAACAGGGCGGCGGCGGTGCACACAGCCATACGGCAGCTTCGCATTGAAGGCGCCACGCTGCTCTACATCCACAAGCTGTGCCATGTCTTCTTTACCAGCCTTCTTGAGACTGCGCGGGAATTTGAGACGGATTTTGCAGGCACTGACAGTGGCTGCTACTCGGCCTTTGTGGTCTGGGCAAGGTCAGCCATGGGCATGTTTGTGGATGCTTTTAGCAAGCAGGTGTTTGATAGCAAGGAGAGCCTTTCCACCGCGGCTGAGTGTGTGAAGGTGGCGAAGGAGCACTGCCAGCAACTGGGTGACATTGGACTAGACCTCACCTTCATCATCCACACCCTTCTGGTGAAAGACATCCAAGGCGCCTTGCACAGTTACAAAGAGATCATAATCGAAGCCACTAAACATCGCAACTCCGAGGAGTTGTGGAGAAGGATGAACTTGATGACCCCAGAGGCCCTGGGCAAACTCAAAGAGGAGATGAAGAGCTGCGGGGTGGGCAACTTTGAGCAGTACACAGGGGACGGCTGCTGGGTGAACCTCAGCTATACCGTGGTCGCCTTCACCAAGCAGACAATGGGCTTCCTGGAGGAGGCGCTGAAGCTGTACTTCCCCGAGTTGCACATGGTGCTTTTGGAGAGCCTGGTGGAAATCATCTTGGTCGCTGTTCAGCATGTGGATTACAGTCTCCGGTGTGAGCAGGAGCCAGAGAAGAAGGCTTTCATCAGACAGAACGCATCCTTTCTGTACGAAACAGTCCTCCCCGTGGTGGAGAAAAGGTTTGAGGAAGGTGTGGGGAAACCCGCCAAGCAGCTCCAGGACCTGAGGAATGCTTCTAGACTCATTCGCGTGAACCCCGAGAGCACAACGTCAGTGGTCTGACGCTAGGCCTGTTGATGTGTATGAGTGTATTTCTCTTCTGTGTTATTTATATTTATATTGTTACATTAGCATTTTCTCTGTAGTCTCAAACACAGCTCAATAAACGATGTCCTCTGAGATAGAAATTTAAAATCAGAAGGAGAAAAGTGTTAAATTAAGCCCAAATAACAAAAGCACTGCAATTAATAAAATATAAGCTTTCCTTTTAAATTATGCTAACGCTCTAATGAATATATTGTCACAGTATAGCATTTCAGCTTATCCTTTGAGTCAAAATACACTTTCTCACACTTTATGTCATGTAACACAGAGAAATAATCTCTAGAAGTACATGGAGTCTAAGTATGTTGTGAAAAGTTTCCCAGTTCTTTAAAATGTTAGATTTCTTAAAGGTTACAGTGCCATATAAAATACTCCGCTTCGTATACTTCCCCACCTTAAAATGTGATTGAGCAATTTGGGGAAAAGAAAGGAGTTGGGAAAATTGGTGGTAGGGTAAATTTTGGTCAGAAGAATTCCTTCCTGGTAGTAGCTAGCATGTGGCCCCAATACTCCGATCCTATGAAATACAAGAGAAAGCTTTCATAAAACAGCAGACATTTCCAGCATGATCTGAACGGCTCATTATTTTTAGCTGCTAATCGGCAGCTTTATGATATCTGATTTGGAAGCATTTACTTGAAAATCTTAAGGACTATGATAAATAATTTTTTCAACATATTCCTGAATAGTATGAATTTCCACCTGGAGTTTTTGTCTTTATCATTAAAAAACTGTCAAAATAATTTTAAAAAAACAGGTCACGTTGAGAAACCTTGCAGCCCCAGGGACTTTGTTAGCTGCCCTGCCCCCTTCCAGTGTAGGTTATTTAGTGGTTCAGACTTCATGCAAAAGAAAGAAAAGTTTTCATTAAGATACTGATTTACAGTTCAATGTCTGGGTGAATGGGGAAATAAAAAAAATTATATGCAAACCCCGTAGTGTTCTCAAGTATGACTGCTTTGAGCAAAGATTTGTTTTTGTTTTTTTGTAACAGCGGGAAACAGGTGAGACAATGAACCCAAAGCAGAGGGAGGAAAAGACCTTTAGTGACTCCTGCCCAAATAAAACGCTCCAGGCTGCATTTTTCTTGTTTTATTTTTCTTTCTTTGTTTTGAAAAGTGAACACACTGCTTAATTCAGATTATTTAGTAAAACAAAAATAACTAAAGAAATTTGAGCTTCCCAAGGTTTCTAAGCTATTGCTTCTATTGTATAACGATTAGATGACATTCCCCAGACGGACAGAAATGCTAGCTCGCATCCATTTTTCCAGTAGCCTCTAGTTGTGATTCTTGTCCATAAGTGCCATTTCTGATGTCAATTACTTCAAAAGGTCATTGCTTTTATCTGAATAAAAATAGTGATATTAAGACTGTAAATTATGCAAAACCTAAAATAGCTTCCAAATAGTGGCTCAGGGTTGTAAGCTCCATGACTTAATTTTACTCATGCCAGAGGAGCCCTTTTATTTTATTTTTAACGATGACTATTTAAAAGGTTCAAAATTACCAAAGTTACGATTTTCTTTGACTGATTTTTTTACATCACTTTAGGATTTTCTGGATAACAGCCATACTGGATAGCTTAACTGAAGAAGAGTTATAATTTGTCTTTTTAAAGATCACTGGGAACTTGAATTTGATAAAAATTTTGTGATTATTTTGTGCCACTTACACTTTCTAAAATTGTATGAAACACATTGTGTAAATAGTTGATGCTAGGTCTATGATAACTTCTGAAATCAAAACTTCTCTTAAGGCAGGCATGAAGTTGTAAAATTTTAAATGCCTGTACTCAGATGTTTAAATGGTTGCTTCTCCATAGAACTGTCTGCTTTTTAAAACTAGAAGTACAGAATTTTCTTCTGTTAAAATTTGTGTGTTCCTTAATCAGAGCTGTTGCTGCAGAAGTGGCTTTGGTGGACCAGTGTGGGAGATGCTGAAAGACCACCATATTAGAATGTGCAATTGACTGGCTTCCTCCTAGTGGGGTAAGAGCTTTTCTCTAACTCCTTTCATTGGACTCCAAAGCAAGTTCTAATAATGAACGCACTTAGAGATTATCCAGAATGTAGCACATACTGTAATATACCCCCAAAGGGTTGGTTGCCCTTTCTTGCTGGCCACACACTTAGCACTGTCCCTTGAGCTTGGAATCACAGACTTGACCGAATTCATTACTGTTGAAAAAAGACACCCTGTGGAATTAAGTCTCTTTTTGATTAAAGCCTCATTTCACTGAAGTGCTGAAAACCCACTTATTTTTGTTT